ATAAGAGCTCTACCTTGACATCTGTTTCTCCAGGACTTTCATCTGATGCCACGGTAAGATTTCTTTGAGGCACAAAATCGTTTTCACTCATATCTTCAAGCAGTTCTTGATTTTCTGTGCTCAAGGAATGCCTGACACTTCTTGTCAATATTCCCTCATTGTTCGTTGTGGAACTTGATAAAGGAGTCCTCTGGCGTTTTAACACCGATGCAGAAGGCTCTGAATATTGCCTTTTCACGTTTCGTTCGTTGTCGGTCGCCGAAGAAGCCCATCCTGGTCTAGTTTTCGGCGATGTACTTGTACCATTGCCAGGAGTAGATGCTTCTGCAGAAGTTGATGCTGAAGAAAGTAGAACTGCAGCGCTCATTCTCCTCAATTTTTGGACGATAATTGCACCGAAAATCAATAATAGGTTTCGGATGAATCGTTAACATGACAAAATTACGAGGTTTACACTCTGTATGAACCGTTTTTCCCGCCATCACAGAGCCTTGCCAGCCGGGCATCCGCGCGTCTTTCCCGCCACAAAACTTTGTCACATTGCTGTCGTTACCCTTTTGCTCTTTTACGGCCGAAATTCGCTACTTCTGGTTCCTTTAACACTTGTGCGATTGAATAATCACGTCTGTTGGACAAATGTACTCTATATTTTCTTGAAAATTGGTTAAATGCTTCTCTTCGGGGTCAAAACTTAAACTGTCTGTTGCAGTGTGACAGACATGCTCAGCTTATTTGTGTTGTGTGACAGTGTTACTAGTGACGTAACAGTGACGTAATCGAGCAAAATATGCACGTGATTCTCCTAATAGCTGCTGGCCTTGATGAAAACCCCTAAAGGTCACAACAAGCGCACATGATCAATATATGACCACTTATTGAAAAACAAAACTGTATGTACAAGGTCAAAACTATTGCCTAGTTTCGATTCTAAGAATCGAATTTTTTTTGACATATTTAAGTTTACAGAATACAAATCAATCTAGAGCAAATCAAAATCAGAAGATTATGTACTTCTTGTAAAATATTAAAAACATCGAGAACAAAACCGATATAACCTTTTATGGACAAAAAAACTAAAAGCGTGCGTATTGTTTACGTTCATGTAAGAAGGATTTCTCTAAGCTGGATCAATATCTTGAACGGCTCTCACACGTGTTTCACTCCTGAGGCTTCAATTAAGAGCCACACGCACGAAAAGCAGGGAGGTTTTTTTAAAATAGTACAATTACGGACAGAAAGTTACAGCATTATAATGTTAAATTTAGCTAACATCTCATAACCATTTCAAGATGTAAATAGAAACATGATAAAGGGTGAATAACAGTTCGATAGGCAAAAAAAACAATTCTAGACTGTTCGCTGAAATCCGTCAGTGCTTTGGACTGCTTCCAGCTGTGCTTCACGGATAAGCGAACGGTAGGGCTTGTCTCAGAGAGCGTTTCAGTTTCTTTTACGGTTCATACAGTTCCGCTTCTTTTCCGAATTTGGTAATACAACTTCCTATTTGTTTATTGACCCCGCCCTTGATATTAAAGTGTCCTGAGGTCAATTCGTTCCGCGTTAACCTGTTAGGCGTGCTTCCGTTAGAAAACAATTTAAATTTTCTTTATCTTTTTGATAACTATAAATTTCACTGAGTTGTGCGGAACATAAAGCGGAACTGATAAAAGTTGTTCCTCCTGAATGCCATAGCCTTCTTTTCGCATTAGTATTAGGGAAGCGATAAACATACGTTCGGCTGATCCATGAGATTTAGCCGAAAAAAATCCACGGATGAAATCAGTAATGATCAGTCTGGAATTCAACTTTTTAAATTATTTTTTAAGTTTTCACGAAGTACCTCAAGATGTAAAACTAATGTTCTTGTGGTTTATGCTACCGGTGCGAGAGGTTTTATACTCGTATTTAGCTTCTTCCTGCGGGGCTGGCGCCAATTTTTATTTCTCCTTTTTTGTGGTTATTTTTTATACAGCGCGAGAGGCGCACGATTAAATCGCGAGATCGAACCAACACGCACGCTCATCCTCGAAATTTCTTCAAAACAAGCGCAGGCTAGCATCCTCAGTTCAAACAAAAACGCTTAATCCAAAGTCTCCTAGCATTCGGGGTTAGAGGCATTTATCCGCAACAATTTTCTTTCCACACTCCTTGCCTTATAAGGTAAACGTAAACGAAGTGGATCGAATTTTACACCTGTCGAGCAGAGAAAGCACGTAATATTGTTTGAAAATTCAACTCACGATCTGTAAATATCAGGCTTCACCTTTTCGGAAAGAGCACTAAATACAAACATTTTAGCCTTAAGTTAAATTCGAAAATTGCAAGCAGTTTGCTGTTTGCTATTCTTCAATTATATCATTAAAAAAGACATAAGTTTAACCTGGTCGCAAGACGTGAGGACGAATCCACCAGACATCATACAACTTATACGTGACCGCGTGACAGACAGATGATTATTTGACGGCTAATTTATGTACGTTAACAAATTGCTTAAGGCAAAAACTATAACAGTATATACAAAAGTTTTCAAAATCCGAGCAAAAGCTTCACGTGAATTTAAAAGAAACGGTTTTCGACGAGGAAAAGAGTTATGAAGGACTACGTGAAATTTTCACATTTTGTTTCCGGTGAGAAACATTCAGTTTTAGTCAAGTGCGGTTAAGTTCACAGACGCAGTGATAAACAAAACAATACAAAGGAAGTATGCTCGAGCTTTCTCAGAACAACAAGTCAATATCAAAACTGAAAAAAAAAAAGCCCAAGCCCGGGAAACGTGGGCGAGTAGGCAGGGCGGTACCAAGTTAAACAAAACTTTCGACGAAGGGCTGACTTTTTCCTTTGTAAAATATTCATGCAATACTTAATGGTTTGGTAGGAAATTTATTAACGGTGTTACATGTTCCGGTGATATTTTTACTTTAAACTTCCGAATGCAATTTCTGTTTTTATTTCATTTCATTTTTTTTCCTTCGATCAACTTGATTTTCTCCGATTTTCTTGTTTTAACTGGAGAAGATCAATCCATACGAAGCCCTCTGAACTAGCGAAAATTCTACCCTTCTCTAGCATGTACAAAAGAAATCGTATTTAACGAATCGAAACGAGCCCGCAAATGAATCGAAATTTCGCGCTTCTTGGGTCGCCAAGGAAATACCGCTTTTGTTTTCTGCATGTTTTCCGCTTGACGTCAGAGATAAATACATGCAATGTCACGTGCCGAGGAAAGCCATCAAAAGTAACCAATCATTAGTCACGAAAGAACAAAGTGCAAGTTTTCAACCAATCAAATTTTAATGACATATGCAGAACGAAAATAGAAAATGACACAAGGGACATAAAGCGGTGCCTTACCCACGGAAATAAAAGTTGCGTATGAAAAATTCACCGAGTTATTTGGATTGCTTGAGGCAGCTGATTTTCGTAACATTACAATCGAACACTGCTTCTTGAATGGAAGCATCATTTTATGACGAAGAAAATATGCCGGCAACATCTACTTCTCAAGGATCAACCTACGATAAAGGCAAACTGAAGCTAGATTTTTCGTCGACGAACACGCGGCGGCAAACTTCACTTGATGGCGCTGTTTTAACGTCTCCTGACTTACATTTACTAACTTTGGGTTCTCCTGAATTGGAAAAGTTAATCATGGGTTATGGAGGTATCTTGACAACTCCTACTCCGAGTCAGTTGTTCAAGGGAACGTCGTCAGTCACAGAACAACAAGAAATGTACGCGCGGGGTTTTATGGAGGCATTGCAACGGCTTCACGATCAACAGGAACCGTCAAGTCAGGTGACAAATGTACCTGTTACGCAGAACGTTCTAACTTCAGCCGGACAAGGTCCTGTTAACCCGCCGTTTGCTACAGTTACCGGGATAAATAATACGAGGAGTACAGTCGCTAGTACTACTCCAATGCTCGCGACCGGTACCTCGACAATTTCGACTCAGTCACTTCCGCTGGTTTCGTTACAATCTTCTGGCGCCGCAAACCAAATTTTTCCTGACTTTCAAAGGGCCGCGGCGGTTCAGTTTGAACCTAGTACAAGTTACAGTCAGCTTTTGAACGTGCAAATTCCACCTCAACAGCCACGATTAACGAACGTAAAGATCGAGAACGAATCACAAGTTGTGCCAGGAACGCCTCCTCTTCCACCGATCGATTTGGCGTTACAGGAAACGGTGAAGAACGAGCGAAAGAAGCAGAGAAATCGTGTCGCGGCGTCAAAATGCCGAAAGAGAAAACTAGAAAAGGAGGCAGACCTTGAAGATAAAGTGACCCAACTTAAGGGAATCAACACAAAACTTCACGCCGAAATCAGCGCACTTAAGAGGCAGGTATCTGATCTGAAGCTTAAAGTTATGGACCATGTGCAAGGCGGCTGCGAGATCATGCTTTTGAATCAGCCACAGGGTTTAGCGGTGAACTAATAACAGACTGATGGAAGTCTAGTTTTTAATATACAGAGTTTTCTTGTGTGTTCTTCGCTTCCAAATAGAGTGAACATAACGGTTAGTCCTGAGAACGTTGGTCTAAAGCTGCCAAAAGTTATGAAGAGGAAAAGCGTGAAGACGATCTTCTAAGCACGTGCATTGGATCTTACAGACAAGTAAACAAATTACAGTTTAAAAAAACACTTTGGCCCCCATTTCCAAACTTGCAACAAATCTAGAATTTAAATTTTTCTAATTATAGAAAAGAGTAGCACCGGACATCAACCGACGAACTCCGTATCCAAAAATTTTTTTTTAAATTTTTATCCTTGGAAATGCGTGAAAGGGGCTTTAAAGTTCGATTTCGAAAGCTGGCTTTTCGATTGATAACAACTACAGTGAACATTTAAAAAGAACTCTGTATTGTAAACGACTTTAGAACCGTGTAATATTGTGTTCTAGTAATAACTAATGCCTGATGACAGTTGTTTAAAATATAGACGTAGGAATGTTATAAAGTGTTGTGTTTGAAATTTACCTTACCAGTTTATAATATGATACTAGAAGGCTACTGAAATTTATTTCGGCCTTAAAAATCGATGACTACTTATTTATTGTACGTTAAAGCTATCATAAAATGGATGGTTTATGCTCCCTGAAATACTGAAGTGAAAATACTATGACTGGCAACTCCATACATTCTGTCAGTTTTATAATTGTTTGAGTGAATATAGTTTTTAACGATGATCTGTATCAAAATAGACTGGAAAATAGTGTGTCAAGTCTTTCCAAATAACTAATTGTGATGTTCATTTTGGTTATATTATTCAATGCAGATTTATAAAAATATAGGACTTCTGCATCAAGATGTTGTTAAGAATTTAAAATATACTGTAAATGTCGTGATGTTTCTAAGGTTATAATATATTTCATTTTACACATAGAATAAGCTTTGTTTTCTTGATTCTTATGTTGTATTTTGTAGCCTAAAAGTGAAATGCTTTGTTCCATTGGGTTTCCCCTGAACTTTTAGAAAATAAAAGGCATGGGAAACTGATAAACTACAGTTTCCTTCGCCCACGTGCTGGGTATTTTAACAGGAAGTTGGGAAAGAAGCATTCAACTTTGAAATTAAGGAATGTGAAGCATGAGAGATTATTCAAAAATTTGCATTCTACGCATGTCTGCTATAGAAGGTAAGAGCTATTCTTAGAAAAGGTGTAACTTTTACCTGACTGTAAACAATACGTGATAAAAACAATACAATGTCTCCACAGTTGGGATAATGTAATTAAAGAGCTCTGAACAAAAAGCACCATGTGTGTTAAAGGAGTTAGATGTGGGGTTCATTTTTTTAGCACTGTCATTTGAAAACTTGCTTTATCATCATTATGAAGTGTACAAAGACGTAACATTTTGTGGCTACAAAATCCAGACTGAGAAATCTGTAAGTTTGAAAGAGTTGCTTATACCTGTGTTTGAATTTGATGTTTACAGGAGCAAAATACTTTTGCAACTAACCTTTGAGGTGTGGTATTTGTGAATTTGGGAACCCCTCCTCTCAAATACCAAAACAGCATGAGCTAATTCCTCTGCAGGTTCCCTTGAATTGCTTGTTTTGATGTTGAAGTTGCAAAAAATTTATCTCAACAAAAGCATTCCAGTGTTGGTAGAGATAGTAAAATCATAAACAGATGTTTTGTATTCTGTTTGGGCTCAATAACGAAGATTGCTTAACCCTTTAAGTCCCAGTAGTGACCAAGATTAATTTTCCCCTAACAATGTCTATACATTGTCAACAGATAAGTTATGAGAATTAATAAAATGATCACCCAAGTAAAAATGCCTTGATCTTTTAACAAATTCTCTCAACTCTTTCTTTAAGGAAATGTATGGGGATCAGTTTGGAGAATTTGTATGTGGATACTGGGGCTTAAGGGTTAAAAATAAAATCCTGTGAAAATAACTTTGATAACTGTCTTTGTATTTTGTGACTTGTAATGGAAAAAGCCCTGGGAACAAGGTTGTGATCAATTATCATCATTCACGCTACTATCAATGCTTCTAGAACAAAAAAGCCGTCTGTAATTCCTTTAAAATGCTCTATATGCATGCTAGTTGAATACCCCCCCCCCCCCTTTTTATGATAAGGGGGATCTTTGGAAGTCCAAAGTGTAGGCACAAAATCTGTATTACCTAAAAAAATCCTGATGATTTCTCTACATTTGTACCTTGAAAATTTCCGGGGTAGTTTATATGAGATATATCCTAGCAGGGTTACGAAATAAAATTCAAGAAGCTTGTTTGCCTAGAAAAAAATTCACCTGTGAACATGTGGTCTTTCTATTATATGACCGCCAAAAGATGAATCCCTTCTGGCCTAACTTGCTGTGCAACTGAAGGTCAGGTATTCAGTTCGAGTGACTTATCATCAACGTTTTTATAGTCCGGCTGTAAACCTGCTCATGAAACTGGCTCCGCAATATTCAGGCCATATGTACAACCTTGTTCACTCTGCCGATAATAAAACACTTATGCAAAATAAAAATATAAAAACATCTGTATTCAAATACAAGTCTAGGCCAGCGGTATCGGCCAGTAAGTTTATTAGTCACCAGCTCCTATCCGCGTCAAGTGTGGGGGCTTTTCTCTCTGAGTCAGCACTTCTTTCGAGTTTATATAACGCGCAAGAAAAAAGTTCAGTTCCGTCTCTGTGTTGCGCGAAAGGTAAGCAGGCGAGAGTAAGAAAGCGTGTGTTTACCTAGCTTTCTCCATGAATCATTTTCAAAAAGAAAAATACTCGCGGGGGCTGATCAGACAACGTGATCGAAAAGGAGGGCGGCCTGACGTGAAAAAGGCTTCGACTGGCTGATGAAGACTGGTGTTGGCCAGTAAATATCGTAACTGAGGTCTTTTCATATTTGATATGCAGTCTTCTTTTTGATAATCACATATATTTTTTTATCATTCTTGACTGATCCATTCTCGTGCTATTTTATCTTATCCAACGCCGGTGACCCGGGGGGGTACTCCCATATATGGGCTATATAGGTACGTGCCGCGGAATAGGGTATGATTTTTGAAGTTCTCAGTCCTTAAATAGGGTATCTTTTTTTACCCTTTGTTTCTGTGTCCCTGGTGTGTTCCTTAGATAGGGTAGCTTAATTGTGTTATCTAATAGTGGAGTGTGAAAACGCCCGCCTAAACGAACATTTTTTTTAAACTAGGCTTATTCTAGTATTTTAACGAACTACGACATGTAGGTTACAATGTCTCTTCTTTATTTCCAAAGGAAAAGTACGATAACTATTAAAACAAAAAAGGAACTTATCCCACAGTAAAAAGCCGAAACCCGGAATTTTTCCCATAGGCAAAACGCTTTCTTAGTCCTTAAATAGGGTTAGGGTTCACGAACCTTCGCGGCACACCCCTATCCAAAATTCGCGGGAGTACCCCCCCCCGGGGCCGGTGACTATATCAGGTGCTGTGCATTTTACCACTTTCCATCCTTTTTATATTCACAAAAACTCTTTGTAAGGTCAACCTATAATTAGAAATTAGAAGATATTAAAACTGGAGCCTCTTTTTTGCCACCGAAAGCTCGCGAAGATTGTAAAACGATTCATCGGACATGTCCTCTTGCCATGCGACAGTCACGCATGACAAGTACCGAAAATTTGTAATTTTACACCCCTATGCCCAAGGCTATTAACAGCGGTTGTTAAGGTTTCTTAGAGACGAATAAAGTGGATTTGAAATCAACATACGGTAAATTTAGTGCCGAAACGGTTTGGAAAACACGCAACCAAACTTCATCTCTCAGACAAGATGTCCTCCGATGAAGAAACCATCCCCGATGACGATGGATTACCGTACCTCGGTGAATATGAGGGAGAACGAAATGAATTAGATGAGCGGCATGGTTTTGGAAGAGCGAAGCTGCCTAGCGGAGACACTTACGAGGGAAATTATGAAAATGGCAAGCGACATGGACACGGAGTTTACAGGTAAATAAACTTTTTGCCTAGAATTTCATTTTCTCTGTCCGTCAAATGTTGTGATTCCTCATAATCTCCATTTGGCAAAATCTAAAAGCAAACAGCATCGCAAGGAATTTATGACTAGTTGTACATGTTTGATTCTATGATAGCTCAGCTTCAGGTCACACTTAGGTAGTGTTTAGCCTGAAAAAGACTCAATTAACGTATCTTAATGTACAGTAATGAAATGTGACAATTTTTAATATGTTCTGCGCTTTTCAAATAGTAGAAATAAAGACAAGAGGCAGTGAAGAGGATTTGATTCATCTAACAGAACTAGATAATATTTAATCAAAGTAATGTTTCGTGATCCTTTGGGGGACCATTTCCTCTGTAGAGCAGTAGCAGTTGGATTTTACCTTAGTTTTGTTTTGGGTGAGCAATATTGGCTATAAACATACAAACAACAATTTAATGCTTCAAAGAGAGGGAATTAGTCTTCTAACACTTTTATCAAATGCTGCCGAATTGTTCGATTTAAGCGTGACTTATCGAAAGCCGGAAAGTATGGTAAACTTGGTTAAGAGAATGGTTTACCTCCGGAACTGAGGGGATACTGTTATGCAGTTTCTAATGACGTTTTTGTAGTTCAGATCACTTTTAGCAATAGTGATCAATAGTGATCAACAGTGTAAACATATTCACAGAAAAAGAGACATGTAGAATGCCGTGACTCTTCACAGCAGGAAATGATTTAATCACGTCATGTGAAGTCATGCATCGTTTTAGATCTATCTCGTCCAAATCTCTTCAAAGAAACTCTTTTGGGTGCCACTTGAGCCTGGAGGGAAGAGACCAGACCACAAAACCTGAGAAATGAGAGCGTCAGTCTCGCGTGTTAAGCGTCCTCCCTACCCTGTCTTGTCCAGCTCCTGCAATAATTCCCCTTTGCATTGGGGTGGTGGAGAGAGGAGGTGTACCTTTATTATTTGGAAGATTTTCAGTCAAGACCCCCGCATCGCCTAATAGTGAAGCCCTTTTTTATGCCCGGGGGATACTCCTTTATATAAGCCATACAGGTCTGTGCCGCCCCAAAGGGTATGGTTTTTGCGTCGTTTTGGTTGTGCCAGCAAAGAATTGAAGGAGGACGAGTGTATCACTTGTCTCGCGCCGCACCATATCAATTTCATACGCGGCGGAGTACTACAGGTTTTACAGTCTAGTACCTCAGATTACTCGATGCGATATAATTTGCAGGTTCAAAATTGGAGCACGTTACACAGGAAATTACGTAGAGGGCAAGAAAAACGGCGAAGGTGTCTTCTTGTATCCTGATGGATCCAAATACGATGGGTCCTGGATCAACGATCTGCGGAACGGTTGGGGTACTTACACCTACCCTAACGGGGATACTTACGAAGGGGAGTGGTATCAGGGAGTTCGTCACGGCCAGGGGACCTATACCTACAATGAAACGGGCTCTCACTATGAGGGAACGTGGTTCCACGGCAAGATGCAAGATGAAGGTCACCTAGTGCACTCAAATCACAGATACATTGGTAATTTTGAAGAAAACAGGCCCAGGGGACCAGGAAAGTACGTGTTCGACTCCGCATGTGTACAGTTGGGTAAGTATGTATGGAAAGAAGAGGAAAACCAAGGCGAGCACGAAGAAGATGAAGCTGAGATTTTGGTTACGCCCATGTGGGAAGGAAAACAGATTTGCGCTATCGAGGAAGAGGAAATGGCATAGCCGCCTAAACGAACGCACTCTAATCTAGATTTTGGCTATTTTCTACTCCATAACTACAAGGAGAATGAGTACAAGCCTTCTGCAAAACGATTTCTGTGATTATTTCTTAGACTGCAAAACAGTCCGTATTTTTGCATATTCAAGTAAGCGCGACCGGTCAAACAAAAGGTCTGGAACGAGGCTGAAAACGGAGAGTGAGACTGGGGAGAGACACTAAAAATACGGTTTTTTTTCTCTCGCCTCACACGCCCTTTGCCGATTTCTTTACTGATTTTGAGAAAAAAAAACCGACTGTTTTGCAGTCTAATTATTTCTGCGATCATTTCACAAGCTCAGTAGCGTTAGCAAGTTATGATTGGTGGACGGTCTTCAGAGACGACCATTAACCAATCATTGCTTATGATATCCACCCAAACGATCCCTGAAATCTTTGAAAAGTTTGAACTCCTTCTCCTGGTAGTTAGACTGCAAAACAGTCCGTATTTTTGCGTATTCAAGTACGCGCGAGCTGTCAAACGAGGCTGAAAACAGAGAGCGATCGCGCGCTTCGCGCGCGTAAGACCCTTACGCCACGTTTTACCGATTTCTTTACTGATTTTGAGAAAAAAACCCGACTGTTTTGCAGTCTAATTATTTCTGCGATCATTTCACAAGCTCAGTAGCGTTAGTAAGTTATGATTGGTGGACGGTCTTCAGAGACGACCATTAACCAATCATTGCTTATGATATCCACCCAAACGATCCAAGAAATCCTTGAAAAGTTTGAGCTCCTTCTCCCGGTAGTTAGACTGCAAAACAGTCCGTATTTTTGCGTATTCAAGTACGCGCGAGCTGTCAAACGAGGCTGAAAACAGAGAGCGATCGCGCGCTTCGCGCGCGTAAGACCCTTACGCCACGCTTTACCGATTTCTTTACTGATTTTGAGAAAAAAAAACGACTGTTTTGCAGTCTACCCCGTAGTATATGGAGCTGTGAATTACTAGAGAACGTATTATACAGTCAAACCTCTCGTAAATGATCACCCAAAATGCAAAGGATATAAGGGAAGTGGTCTCTTACGAGAACTGAACCACAAGGGGTTTCTTTCCGAAAACAGGTACGGAGATAATTTCTTTCTGGAAGAGAATTTATTCGATGCAATTGCTGAGTTTATGAGATGTGTAGTTCCATTTTGTCGCTAAAAGTTCGTATTCAAAGTGCATACAGCGAACGGATATCGAACTGTGCATCAGGTGGTCGTTTACAAGAGGTTTAAAAGGAGTATGCTCGACCATAACCCGTGCCATCATCACAATTTGTTACCTCCTTATGAAAAACCTCAGGCGTAAAGTAGAAAAACAGCGTTTTATTAGTGTTTATAGGCCCTTGCATTCAACGCAATTCTGAATGTGTTCTTCTGCATCTAATTTCATCTGTATGAATACTTACTCTCTTTTAAAATCTTTAAAAAAAAAGAAAACAAACTAAAATATCAATGTAAACATTGTCTTAGCGAACATAACTTGGGCGTATCACCTTTTCTTTCAGAACAATTTCACGTGCTCACTAAAGGTTCTAACAAATTTGATTGCCTAATTAAGGAGATGCTCTTTTCAAGAAAACTCAAACCATCCCTGAACGTGCAGGCGGACTCGATTCGCGCAAAGGTATTCACTTGAAGAACTTGTGATCCTTTGTTATTATGCTAATTTGTAGAGACTATAGAAATCAAATCTTCGCATTATTTATTCATTTTGCCTTGAGAATGGTGTCATGATGATACCGAAACGTCGGCTTTTAACGTTAATATTCGCTTGCTTATGTTTTAAGAAATCGTTATTGATCAAGGATGTAAAATTAAGTATATAAAAAAACCTCAGTAGCAATTGATTCAGACGTGGAATCAGTCTCAATACAATTTTTTTTCTGGGCGAATTACTGAGATTTTGGTTGCCTCTTTCCAGCGGCACGCGTGGTGTCCTGTGAATACACTTTACTGCATCCTACGCTTTCTCTTCCGGCGACGGACACCAGGACGTCAAAAAAGCAATAGGTTTATTACGCAAAACAACAACTTTGCACGTGCATCACGCTTTGTACATTTCGTCACCGTCCTTGCACGACTACGACGTGAAAATGCCTAATTGCAAGTTTTCCGGAGGACGTAAACAAGCGACGACGAATCTCTTTTTCCCTCTCTAAACTTGAGTGCGGTCCTCAAGAAATCAACTCCAGGGAAATTGGCCTACACTTGCCATTTTCAGCAAATTGGAATAAACGCGACAAGGATTGAAAAAACCGGGAATTCATTTTAAAACTGACGTTTTCGCTGCCGTTGCCGTCGTCGATGCTAAAGCTCCCTATTGCTGGAGACGAGGCAACGTAGAGGCTGAGGACTCTGATCAGATGAGGTCTTCCATGTTACAACTCTTGCACAGCATCATCGGTGTTTTGTTCCTCATGCAATCTCAGGAAAGCGCGCGCGCGAGCAACCCAATAATGTTCAGGGTGCATACCTTTTTCTTCCCACTCCCGAAGGCATTGCGTCAACATTTCTTTTCCATATTGCACATCTCCAAGATGCACGCAAGCTTCCGCTAGCAGCGCCTTAGGATGATATGCACCAGGGCTAACAACCAGATGTAAGTCCTCATGAACATTCACTAGCTCTTCCAAAAAACTTTTCGCGCGTGCATACTCCTTTCTAACAAATAAAACGTCGGCGAGCCATGTACCCGCGCGCGGCCACGCAATGTGACCTGAGCTTCGATAGACCTGGACGGCGTTATAACACATTTCGTAAGCCTGCTCAACTTGTCCTAAGTGCAGTTTCGCAGTTCCGTAGGTCATCATAGTTCCCGCTGTGAACTTGTGTCCATCTCCATGAAGTTCTTCGTAAATCTTTACGGCTTCTTCGTGGAGAGCGTTCGATTCTTCCAGGTGCTTTTTGGTGCTCCATGCGCGAGGATGCGTATACCGCAGCCCGAGATACCAGCGAAGATGAACCTTAGCTGTATAATTCAAAACTTGCGCGCGGATGAACAGTTCCGTTCTTGAGGTATCGCAAGCTTCAATAATCTTCTGGGCTTCTTCCAGCACTTCTATCGCCTCGTCATTTTCCCAGCGATCGTGCAAGATTATCCCAAGATTACAAAGTCTCTCAACCACTTGCACGTGCTTCTCGCCATAGGCCTTTCTGGTCACTTCAGCGCACATTTTCATGTACTCTTTTGCGAGGTCTAGCTGGAAGCTTTCACGGTATGTGAACCCAAGGATATTTAAAAGCCTCGATCTCATTTTCATCCATTCTGGTTCCGTATGTGCTGTGCAGAGATGATTAGCCTCTTCTAACACAGGAATAACTCTGTCTAGCTGCCCCGCTTCGCGATAAGTATATCCCAAATCACACAGCAATTCGCATGCGCTGATATCAGTCGTAGATAGCTGTTTATTTATCTTGTAAGCACGTTCAAGTAAAGCAACGCGATTATTATCCGTCGCCCCGGCAACATGGACCAGGCCATCAGCAAGATAGACTAAGGCTTGTACAAGTAAATTCATTTCAACAAATTGGCTTTTCTCCGCCTTTTCTACAAACTCCCTTAAATGCGGGCACAGAATTATTCTTGTGGCTATAGCCTCCTTGGAGACATCGCCTTTTCTAATCTTGTACGCCTTATTTAATATTTTAAGCACCCCATTCAGTTGGCGCTTTTCCACTTCGGCGGTTTCTTCCATCTCTTTCGTCTGTTTGTCCGGTTTTCGCCTGATTTGTGCAAATGCCAATCGCATGACTTGATGGAGGGTAACTACCTCAATTCCTCTTTCACCCGTCTCAGGATAGATCAGCAGAGAGCATCGTGCTATTTTAACCTTAACGTCATCTGGGACCCTAATGGTTTGGTCGCCGGAAGCAGCAGTCTCGCACAAGACGTACTCTGCAACGGTGTCCAACGGTAAGGGTTGAAGGGCGCAATAAGACAGAAAAACGAAGGCAGCTCGGAGCACTTCGTTATTTTCCGCCATCCGTTGGGCGGCAAACTCAGCTGCTGGAAGCATCGATTGTGGATAACATGGATTATGACGTGTAAAGTCGGAATGATCAAGGTACGCAAAGTATTTTTTAAGATTGGCTAGGTAGTTTTTCCAGGAAAACTTTGAGAACGGCCGATCTTCTCGCATCTGCTTTACATAGACTGCTGCACAAGCAAGAGACAGAGGGTAAAAGCCCAGCAACCGAGCGACTTCTATGGCGTCCTCATCTGCCTCCATCCCAGAAATGGCGCTTAACAATTTCTTTGCGTCACTCTGCTCCATTCCTTCATCTAAACCCACAACTTTGGCGTATGCGTGGGATCTGGGTACCAGCTCGCTATCCTGTGTTGTTACCAATACTAACCCTTCTCCCCACGGGCTGTTTTCTTCAGGCGTTGGCCAGAATTCTTTAAGAGGATCATTGACTGTTAGATTATCAATGATTAACAGCCAGACAGTAGAGCTTTTACAAAGGTGGTTTTTAATCTCATTCGAGTAAGTCTTGATTCGTTCATTCAGACTTCCTCTTTCTTCGCTCTCCTTTGACATTTCCAATTTTTCGTGTAGTTCCTTATACGATTCCAAAAGCGACTCTGGCGTCCGCGCATCCAACGTGGCGACAATTCTCCTTGGTGACTGCCCGCCGCAACCTGCGCTCACCTTCATGTACTCTTTACCAAACTGTCTTGCCAGTTGTGTCTTACCACACCCTGGAGGGCCTTTCACATACACTGCTGATACTAGCGAACTTTCCGCCGCATCCTGTCGCAAATGACTAAAGGCTTGCTGAATCTTTCTTATTTCGTCTCCTCGTCTTTGAGTCACATGAAATGGCTTACCAGGTAAAATCTCGACGGAAGGCAGACCTATTTTTTAAAAGAAAGAAAACAAAATATCTTTTAAAAAATCTTTAATTTCAAAGAGTGATCAGGCCCAATTCAAACGTCGAACTTTCCATGTGCCGAACAAATTAAAATACCTGTTTAGGTCGACCCAAATGATACAAGTTTCGATGGTTGATTCAAACGTCTAACTTAATTAGACGGACTCAATTCATTTTCACGATGTACACCGGGCAATACTTACCAGTTAAAATATCGAAAAAGTTCGACTATTAGAACGAAGTCGCTCCGCAGTCGAAATTCCCCTGTGGGCCACTCAAATTTAATTCATGAGTCGATCCACATTGGATATGTCGGACTTATTAATTCAAACTTCGAGCTTTTCAGGTACTTAATTAAAGGGATTAGGTTCGGTACATGAAAAGTTCGACGTTTGAATTGGGCCTGACAGTCAGTTGTTGTTGTTGTTACTGTTCAATCGTATCCCGGGTTTTAACCACGCCTGAAGCCAATCCTTGCTGATGGTATAAAGTGCTTATAATCCCTAAGATTTAGTTTGAAGAAAATAAAGGCATTTCTATCATTACTTTTTCTAAAATGTTACAGTCCTCTATTCAGAGTGGAATCAAGAGAGTATGGGGCAAGCTTTCTTGGGTGAACCTAGTTCCAATGTTCTTTGTTCAAGTTTGTTCTTGTTTGCAGCTGTGCATGTACTGTGGTTCGGCTTCTGGTCAATCGAACACGACAGTACAATTTGGCTACAACTTGTTAGTTAGTTTGCAAGTTCTATTGGATCCTATTGGCTCTTAAGCTGGTCACTTCCGTTTTTTCAAATAAGAAGCAAACTTAAAGATGTACTCAAATAGAGAAACTTTCTAAAGTTTACGCGCGAGCCGCCTACATCTACCGAAAACCCAAAGCGACTCATTATCAAAGGAGACTAACCCCAGATTTCACCAAGGCTAGGCATTAAAAAGTACTTTGTTATTCAGATGATCGTTACATTCTAATAAGTGAACAAGCTAGGGCTTACCTTTTAAGACACCGTCAGCTTCATCTTTACAAGAAACTCTCAGTCCAGACATTTTTCGTTGCAACTCAGCCTCTCCTGTGGTATAAATGGGCATGGGTTTCAGACTCGTCTTGCAATTTAGTATAATATCTGGAAAACTCAACTAGTCAAGTCGAGTCGCTTATTTCAATTCTTTGCTGTTTCTTATCTTAAGGCACTTTCCAAAAGTTACGACTGGCCGGCCGCAAGACCTGTCATATTGAGAATGCAATATCAGTGTTTTCCTGAAATTTTTACTAAAACTCATCACTGCCGCGTGTACCATTTAGAAATAAACTAATCTGGCTGGATAGTCCTGATTAATAGTGGAATTTCCCCCGGTGACATTAGGCCTGCTCTGGCCAGCCCGAGTAAGAGCCCTAAGTTTGAGGTTAACCGCCCGAGTGACGACTGGGGACTAGTTTAATTATGGAAGCCTTGGAAGAGCTCGGTCATTTGAAAGTTGTGCGTGAGACTGGGTCGGTGTTGTGCCGAATTGCAGCATGGGACTGTTTTGGGACTTTGCGCCATTTTTACAGGCTTTTACGAGGTTGTGCGGGAAAACTGGGTCCAAATTCCTGTCTCAAAACAGTCCCATGGTGCTATTCCTACTCAGTCTCACGCAGTTACTTTTCCAAGGCTTCCAAAAGTGCATTCCTACGTAATCTCAAAATGGCCGACACATACACAGAGCCATGGCAACTGCATTCTGGTTCCCAGAGCCGCGATCTTTTTGGTTAGCACCGCGGATAGAGCGAATGTGGCAACTGGCTTAAGGCAGCTGGCGCAAGGTATTACTTGAGTATGCTCAACACTAACCTTTTTCTTGGCAGTATGCCTCTATTAAGTCACGCCTACTGACTGCTTTGTGATCAAGTCCTTGAGCAAGTCGTTCATAACTCGCTTCAGAGCCACGTGATTCCTTCCATTTTCTTAGCATAGCATAACTCCTATCCACTCCTTTCAAGTGATCTACTTCGATTTCGTCTAACTGTGAATTTTTCAATCCCAAAGCCAAACCGAGTTTTTTCCAGATCACTAACATGTCCCCAGCAAGACTGAGAAGTTCACGATCTTCGGGCACGCCTTGCTTGATCGACATCACACCACCTGATTAAAACATAGTAATCGTCATGCCACGGGATTTGAGACAAAGAAATTTAAAATAACAAACACACGCAATCCGTTTCGCTCAGCAAAAAATATCGGTTGACTGATTGACTACTGAAAAGCCTGCATTCCTTAAGCTTTTGTTTCGAATCAAAAGTCAGCTTCAGGGTTTCTTAGGTGACAAAACAAGCTACAAATGAACAGGGTTCGAAATCAGAACCCAGAAATCCAAATGAATAAACCCTTCAGAATGTTTTAAGACCCGTTTTTTAATTGCAAGGCCGTTTTCTGTGCGATTAATGGCGAGTTTTATAGGTCCAATGTCACATTCGCTTATGTAATCTTATAAACGGCGATATAGAAGCGTATGTTTATCGAAATAATTCATCGGTCCACGAAGAGATGGGTCAGTTTTTAGGAAATTGTTGTAAATTCTGAGCTATTCTGAGTGGTGTCAAGAACACTTAGTTCGTACTTGTGCGTGAAATAATGTGCAAGTACAGGACGTAATAACGTTTCGAAGAAACAGGCACACGTTACTCTTCTTGAAACCGTATCTAAAATGTTCCAACGCAGTGTTAATGACATCAACAATACACTTAAAGAGAAGCACGTACTGATAAAGCCATGAAATACAAGCTGAGTAAAAACAGACGAAACACTGGGACTGATGAGAAAACAAACTAAAAATTTTTGTTCTACCGTAGGCTATTTGATCTTATTTCTTGCTATATGACAATTGAAAATAAAACTGAATAATTCGCAACAGATACTCGCCTGGCTAACGCCTACATCTAAAAACAGTAAGATTTTTTAATTGTAACTGCGCTAGCCTGAGCTTGCCCGCATAAAGAGAAGTTGTGTGTTTTCGAGATAAAAGAAACATTGTGCTACACAGTTTTCCAACGAGATTTTCCAAGACTGTTAAAATTAAAAACAACAACATGTGTGTTATTTTAATTGTTTCTTACCTTGCATACGATAAGACATCAGTCGCTGAATGTTTCAATTCACCACTTCCTCATTCGAGAACAACGCAATTGAGAGGGCAAGGATTTGCTGCTTCGGGACTGTTAAGGGACCCATAAAAATAGGGTTTCTTCAAAACTGCCCTTTGAGATTGCATGCCCATCATGTACACACACGAGTCACGGTCGAGGGGGTAGAAATTAGAATATGGTAAGTTGCTGAAATTGCTATGTTTTGATCGGATGCATTCACAGTTTCGGGGAATTACCGGACAACCTCGTTCCCAGGGTTCTCTCCTTACCGGAAACGTAATGATAGGCTATGGGCGCGATCAATTCAACCAAAGTTTCCGGAAATAAGCCAGGTTTTGAGTTACCTAGCCAAGCCAGGTTGGCCTTTTCAAAGCTTTTTTGTCCAGGTGGAAAACTCCACCAGGAGAAAAGGGCCAGCCTGGCCAGACTTACATGGTTGAATGGATCGCGCCCTATGTTACCTTTGTAGACGCACTTAGGCTCTTTGGACCGATGCAATAGATTTTCTCAAGATGGCACTCCTCTCGATCACCAAACAGTTTAAAAACTAGTTCGAAATTAGTCTGAAATGTTAGCCCTTTCAGCCGTCTCCCGGCGTGCCGCTCAGAGAGACGTAGGCTAGTTTTTCAAACTACCCCTTTGAAAGCATTTTTAGGTGCTTTTTTGTGTTCGAAAAGCTCCTTTTTTTCACTCTAAGCTGTACTTTTGATTTCTCTTCTACCTTTTTTCGGTGTTTCAGATTTTCGGCGCGGAAAAAAACAGGGTATACACCAAATTTCCGGAAATGAGAGGGAAATGGTTAGACAATGACGATGATGCACACGATCTCCTTCCGAGCGATTCCGAGCATATACGACGAGTACGACAAGATACAAACAAAATGGCGGTCGATGGTCCAAGACCAGCGGAGTCTTTGCGGCATTTAGCCTGTTCTCTGGCCGCTTTGAATCCAGCACCTTGGGAAAAGGTAAGATAGTATGCCATAGGTATCATTGTGAAGATCGCCATTTTAAGTAAAGGACAAATTGTGTGTAATGGGCTCCCAGAGTGTCTCAGATGAATGAGACACGTATATCAGCTGTGTAGCAAATTAAGCTCGTTGTTTTCCCCCTTGAATGTCAATTTTAAGATTTGGACTTTTTTCCTCTTTTTCTAAGGAAGTAAAAATAGGCAGAGACTGTCTGGCTAAGTATATTGCCACATTTTGAAGAACTCTTGCAATTAGTCTACAGAATCATTGTGATGCCAACCTACAAATATAACATCAAACTCTTGCCTTTTTTTAGGTTAAAAAACTCAGTCGTCTTTGTCCTGCAAGTCCGTCTTCATCTTCTGATGTCTTTATCCTCGATCAACGTGGTACTGATGGAATTCTGGCACTGGGGTTGTTTGCGCTTCACTCAGGCTTACAATACAAAGAGAAAATAATGCCTTACTTGGTAGATGTACTCAAAGGTCTTCCAACGGCAAGGTGGCTGGAAGCTAGGGAACCTGTACACTTCTCAAAGAGCCCTTTAGCAGGGGAGTTTGCATTCTGTTTTGTAACACTTATGAGTGGATTAGCTGCGCAAGATAACAGCTTGGATGGGGACATTATCAAACTCCAGCTCAGTCTGTTTGATACTCTTATTGACCAATGCTGTGGTTATAAAGACCTGACAGATCCTAAGAAAGGTGATACTGTAGCTTAAGTATGCAATGAAGTAGTTGAGACACTTTTGTCCAATGGGCAGGTTTCTCCTGCTCTCCCTAGTCACTAAAAATGCACTGAAATGCACTTTTCAGAGGCCCCTAAATTACAAGTTTTACCATGGAGGTCCTCACCCTGCCAGAAGAGACTCTGTGTGAAACAGGATATGATCTTTCTTGAGCTTGCATTGCATGTTACTAGTATACAGCTTCAAACCCAGGCCTAATATCCTTGCGCTTGACACTGCAGACTCTGTTGTGAACATCAGTTTATCAATAGACAGATGTTTGCACACAAAAACCCCGTTTGACGAGGGAATACGAGATTGACTAGGCCAGACGTTCGGGCTGTACCCTGTGAGAAGAGGCCCTTCGATCTTCCTAGACAAGTTGGGAAGAGGAAGGTTCCTTCCTCTACCTCTTCCCGACTTATCTAGGAAGATAGAAGGGCTTCTGCTCGCAGGGTATTCAGGCTGTGGCTACTTCAAAGGATTGACGCGTTTCAGGCAGAGTCTCTTCTTCTGCTCTTCGATCAAGAAGAACACAAAAGGAGACTCTGCTCGCAGGGTTGTAGGTCCACAGACTCTTCCAAAGGAATGGGGTGATACTGCCTCTTATACCTACCCCCCCATGTTTGGGCACCTTTTAATCAAATCTATTTACATTTACTTCAATTATAATTCTTCCTTGTTAAAAATTAATTTTCTTAAGAACTCTAATAATGTTATATACCTGAAAATTGTAGGAAGCTCACATTGGCTGAACCTTTGATGCCAGCATTTATGTTTGTGCAAACACTGGTATTGTGGGCCATTCTATTGAATATCCACACACTCCTCCTGTAGATGAGGGTCTTTTTGCCTGGGGTTATCCCGTTCAGAAGTTAACATTTATTCTTAGATACCCTTAGAAATAGTATTATTTTGTTCTGTACCCGTCGAAAAATATGGCAATGTTATTTGTCCCCTTCAGAAAAGAAGTTTTACAGTATTCTTCATAAGAAAAACTGTGTTTACCATGCCTATGTTGATGATGTAGCTCTCCCTTCAGAAATTTATTCTTGGTATTTGCACCCTTCAGAAATAGGCATTTTGGACAACAACCCCCTCAGAAAAACGTCTCTGCTAGTATTGACCCCTTCAGAAAATCTCATCCATCTAGGGGGTGTGGATGTAAAATGGAATGCCCCTGTCTTGGCACCCAAAGGCAAAAGTAAGTCACCATACCCTCGTTCATCAGTGATACAGTACCATACTGGTGGAGAGGGTGCAGCTTAGTTCTGCAATGCTTTGTGGAAAACTGTAGAGAAGGGGAGATTTATGTTGTCGTGGGCAAAGTGTCTTGACTAGAATGAGTCTTGATGTGAGTGTTGAATGTTACTTTCTCTCTATCATGAAACATTCACCACCAACTATTTTGCTCACAAATGAGTTATTAATAATAGAATATTGTTTTTATCACCACTTTGTTGCTGTTTACAGCTTCTTTTTGTTGCACTACTGTCCCCCTTCTCCTTGGTGTGGCCCAAGCTCTTGGAGTGTCCAGTGTCTATGTGTCTGACCCCTCCCTGATTACAAGGCTACTGTTCCCAAAACACTCTGGTCACAACACTCCTGATGAACTGCAGTTACCAAGGGCACTGAGTCGTGCTGCACCAAGACGATTTCTGAGCTTTCCACAGGGCAAGAGAGACGACAGTTATCATTTATCTGATACTCAACTAAATAATCTCATAATGAAAGTAAGTCCTTGGCAGGAGTAGTCTATGATAGGCCAGTTATTAGAAATTACTTTAACACTCTTGTACAGTAATGCAAGTCTCATTTCGTTAGGCATTATATACATGTTCAACTACGACATAAAGGCTTCTTAAGCGGGTACATATATCCCTAGTCTGAATTTCAAATATCGTAGTTTTGTGTTTTAGGAAGTAGGCCATGTTAACCCATCTTTATGTCTTATGTCACCATTTCATCAAGTCTTATGTCACTGTTTCAAGGCCATGTTACTTGTCAGAATTTTACCCTAACACGGCCTCTGACCTGGGCTTTTATTAAGAATTCTTGTAGCAGGAGAAAGGTGTAACATTACGGGAGAACATTTTGAAACAGGCTCCACGTGTAGATAAAAATTAGTCATTGGTTACCAGACATGCCGGAGAATTCTGCATAGTAAATGGAGGATTCTCTGATCTCTGATGCCTAAAGGTTGGTACACACTAGGCGACAAGTTGCAGCAACATGTCGCGGCGACATATTGCAGCGACAAATCGCTTAATGTGTACTGGAGAATTTTTGTGAAAATCTTTGTCACTGCAACAGAATTTGTCGCCGCAACAAGTCGCACAGATTCAGTCTGATTTGATTTTTTGCGACTTGTTGCAGCGACAAAATACTGTTGCGGAGACAAAGCTTTTCACAAAATTCTCCAGTACACACGAAGCGATTTGTCGCTGCGACGTGTCGCCTCACCTTGTTGCTGCAACTAGTCGCCAGACCTGTCTACATGGAGTGATCGGTTGCCGCGACGTGTTGCTGCAACTTGTCGCCTAGTGTTTACCGACCTTAATGAACAACCTGCCTGACATGCCTACATGTAAGCCATGGTAATCAGCATAATCTCTCCAGAGGCGCTTCATATCATGTCCTCAGCAACTTGCATTATCATCGCATATTTGTTAGCTCCTGTGTTATCTCCCGTGATATTTAGCAGGAGAAAATTGATGTTGATCACTCATGGAACCCAAAGTGTTGAGTCATTTGATAATTAATATTATTTTTCTGAACAGGTTGAACAATTGATTAACATGCAAGTACTTCAAGGATTAGACCTTCTATTATCAGACTGTCTCCAGGTACTGTTCTTGTAATAAGTTACAGTTTGTCTATTTTATTATTAACAAATAAATAAATAGTTTCTGTTGTCCATGCTCTTGTAGACCACATTAATTGACATTAAAATGTTCAAACTTTAGAGAGTTGCTGACCATAAAATTATCATCAGTAACTGGCTACTATCAGTGAAAGCTTCATAACTTCACTGACATAGAATCATTCCTTTCTATTTTTCCCATGTTTGATAGGCTGGGGTACTACTGAGGAAGTTTCCTTTCCAGATGTTTAGTGAGGTTATCCTGCTGTCTATGATGACGCTACTGAGAGATCTCTGTCAGTATACACGAGGTATAAATTTAATATTACATGTATATTATTTCGTAACCCAAGATATGCCTTGTGTTGTGGTGGAAGGTTCTAAACTTTCCAACTGATTTTTTTACCAATAACTTTCATCTCGCTGTGA